GGTTAGTAAAATGACCCCATTTCCATTGAAAACAAAGGATTTGGTGGATGTGTTTGGTCACGATTAAGCCGGTGATGGTAGCAGTTAAATCAGTGACGGGTTTAACTGGTCACGGTTACGGTTAAACCGCCGAATCCGGTCTAACCGGTCCGTTTCGAATGGTTCGGTTTGATCAGACCGATTAACCGGATAATCTGACTGGTCGACCGGATAATCGGGCCGGTTAACCGTTTATCACGTCAGAAATTGACAGCCTTAATTGCAACAGTTTCTCCGTATTTGATTTTAGTCGTTACCATGACAAGCGTGAAGGGGGAAAATTTATGTCAGAACACACCAGCAGAAGAACTAGAGTTAAAGGCCCCCATTCACGAGCACGCAAATTGTTCAAATGGAGTGATTGCATTCCAAAATCCTTCCGTGAATGTTGAAAACTGAATGTACCTACAGGCGTGGCGTGGGAGTCAGGGGCCCACTGGGGGTTAATTTATTAATAAAATAATAAAAAAAATAATAATCAATACTTTTTGATTTTTTGCTGGTCCGGCGAGGCGCCGTTTTAATTGACTTCCGCCGGTCCAAGGGGTCCCATCCGCCTCAGGTGGTAGTTCTGCTGGATATCCAGACGTCCAAAACACCGAACGAACTATGGTAGCAGTATGCGGCGTGGAAGCTGTATAAATTGGAAATACCGAGTTGGTTGTGCACTACACACCACAAAAAAAATAAATTATTCACTCATCTATTTGGAGTGACCGTATATACATAGGTCAATGTTTATTTATTTCAGATTGCAAGAGACAAACACTTTTGGAAGAACCATATGATAAATAAATTACAAATATTTTTTTACAACTGCTTGCTTCCGGAATTAGTCGATCCTAGATTTCCAAGAGGAGATTGTCAATAAGAGACAATCAACGAAACGAACTAATTAGTAACCAAACAAAATATTAGTTTTATTTGTCGTTAAAATTGTACTTTTTATTTTATTATAAAAAAAATGAGCCAAATAAAATAATTTATTTATTGTACAAGTAGGTATATATATTTTTTGGCATTGGTATGTATAAGTTAAAAGCTATAAATAAAAAAAATAAGAAAGAAAATAAACTTTTATTGCTACCCAGACTATTTTTGGAAGGTCCCAAGTTTTTGAAAAAAGCAGAGAGAAAGATACTACTCATTATTATACCGGGTCATTCTATATGGGCGGAACACTTGATTTATGGCTTAACTATGACTTGTACGAAAATTTGAGTTGAATAAAAGTTTTTGTACATTTTATGTACTATTTATTGATGTTTACAGATTTCCCGCATACGTAATGATTTTCAAGATATGACGTCATCGGGCAATATTTTAAATGGATCACCCTGTATTTATATATTTTTTCGAGTTCGTATGATGTCTGATTTCATCAATGGTACATTAAGTGGGTCCCAGACTTATTTAAAATATTGCCCGATGACGTCATATCTTGAAAACCATTACGTATGCGGGAAATCTGTAAACGTCAATAAATAGTACATAAAATGTACAAAAACTTTCATAAAAGTCAAATTATCGTACAAGTCATAGTTAAGCCATAAATCAAGTGTTCCGCCCATATAGAATTACCCGTTCCGTCCATATAGAATGACCCTGTATATCGTTATATTGTAGACGATTGATTTTAGTTCACTTCTTAATTCCAATATGAACCTAACATAACATACCGATATTTCTTTCGTTTCTGATTGAAAAAAAAAATCAGTTAATCCCTTAATGAGTATTTGTTTTCACTAAAAGGGTACGTGCTATTTTGTAGAAGTAGGTACTTAAAAAATATAATATATATATAATACAAAAATACAATATGATTTTTTTGGTATAATAAAAATATTTAATAAATAGTTACACGGCAAGAAAATATGTTGCGCCTATGAATATGCACTCAGCCAAGCGACGCAAGCTATAGGCATACGTTGGGTTTAGTTCTCTTACTTATCCTATTTGTAACTGCAATAGCGTACATTATTACAGAGGAAATAAATTCGCTTTTGGACTGTCAGCGCGGAACGAGACGTAGAGGGTAAGGCAGGTAGAGGTGAGTTTTGTTTATCACGGGAGCTCCGGTTTGCTCTTTTAATATAAACTAGAAGAAAAGTGTTTGATATAGAAATATTGTAATTTGGAGTACTATTTCAAAACCGTTTGAAACATATCAAAGACGGTCCTGTGCTCGCGAATCCAGAGGTTTGTTCCAACACGCGCAAAAACCGTAGTATTACCGTACAAATCGTGCGCTCTAACCAAAGATTGTGTACAGCGCATGATTTGTACGGTAATATTACAGTTTTCGGGCGTGTTGGAACAGACCTCAGTTGTTCATTACGGACATCTCTAAATAAACTTCTACGTGACAATAATCGCGTTCGCCAAGTTGCATCAGCACGAAACCTCTCAAGGCCAACTAGTTTTGGACACGTAGACATGTATGTATATCTTTCTTGGAACGACACAAAACATCAGATCAGTTTGTACTTTGCTAGAAGTCAGGCAGGTTTAAATAAAAGTTTAGTGTAAATATGTACAAATTTAAAAGTTATCGTGCAGTTTGTTACGAAGTTGTTGGAATTTCATTATTCGTATGGAGATGTTTGCAGCTAGCACCGAAAGAAGACAGTCCACTTGGTAAGCGAGCCTTATAGCTGTATTTATAATTTGTGTTGGGTTCAACTTTTATTACCCTACAAATCCAACAAGTACAATTCAATTTAGTTAATAAATGAATCAGTGAATAAAAATTAAAGTAAATAAACAAACGTTACAAAAAGGTTCACTTTCTCCAAGGCAATATTTATTTTTTGCACGCATTTCTTTTTTGTTCCTCACAACTTTAGAAAGATTTCATCAAAATATCTGGACATGAAAAAATGATACACCAAAGGCATATAGCGTTTCTCAAATTTTGGATTCACGATACAAAATAAAAATAATTGGAAAATTGAAAATTTAAATTTCACAATAAATGAAATCAGTATAAAATAAATTTATAAACAATACATAAATAAATCGTTTATTTATCGCATCACATTACATTGTTTTACAAAAATAAATAAGTACATATTTTAAATAAATAATTTAATTAAATAATATAATATACTGTTTACAGAGTATTTGCTACATAAAAATTGTTATTAACAATAATAATTATAATATTAATAATGTCTATAACTTTTTGCCTAACGGTATTTTTACATAAAACACTCACATCTTTAAAATTTCTTACGTACATAAGAAAGAAAAGATTTTAAGACAAAAATATTCAGATTTTAATACTATCTCCCTAGACCAAATATCAGCGCCTATTTCTCTAGTCGTCCCAAATATAACACGACCTTGATTAATATTCTGTTAAAACTCTCTGGCTCTAATCAGATTATTAATGCCAAAAAATATGTCTCAACAAATTGATATTAAAATATTCTCGAGATTTAGATTCAACAATAATAGCTGACTATTATCAAGGTCTTGGGATATTACCCTTGATAATATTTAATAAATATTCTAAAATTAAAGAAAATAACGAGTTTTTATAATTTTCCTTTAGTTTTATTATATAAGTGATCGGTACCACAATAAAATACAAAGGTATTAAAACATTCCACAACTTCAATAACGAGTTATGTATATTATAAAGAATAAAGCTCGAACATAAATTAAGGTTGATTCAATTCAAATATCATCTATCAGATAGATAAATAGAACATTATAGGAATAGTAGTTTGTGCAACAAGAGTGGATATGGACAATCCACTCGAGTTGTATAGTATATTTTTTCTACGACCCACTAACGAAAATCTACAAATATTAAAAATTATTTCAGGTTATTAAGATAATATAATTAATTTAAAAATAATTTATGACTTTTATTAATTTATAAAATAAAATAAACAAGAAAAAAAAGAATTTTATTTTTTACAATCTGAGATTCGAACTCGAGTCTTCCATATGGAAGGCAATAACGCTGACCACAGGACCATCTACGTGTTTATTTTTTTGCTTTAATACTCTTAATTAAATTGACTTCATATAGTTTTATTTAAATTAACAAATTATTTATAATTATAGACGAAATAAAACTAGAAATTCTATTATTTATGGATTCTACATAAGAATAACTCATTTTAATGTATGTTTAATCTCAATATCTAAAAAATATACTAACAATTAGTTTGACAGAATTGTCACTTATTTAAAATTTTAAAAATAATAGCAATCGGTTGATCAAAATATGAACTGTGATTAGTGAATTTAATTTTTTTGCAGTCTTCTCACTACCTAGATGGATATGAAATATATTCGTTTAGTTGAAGGCAATAGCATACTTTTTCGTTTTTAAATCTGTGCTTAGATAAGCTAATATCCACGTGGATGTAGATTTTATCAAAAATGCCATTATTATTATTATTATTATTACACTTTATAGTTCAAAATTACAAAAAATATTTGTTCTAATTTTGACATATAAAGTGACATATTTTGTAATAACAGCAAGTGTCAAAACGATCTATTTTATGCAACCAGTTGCATAAAGTAGAACATTATGCCACATTACGAAGAGTTGATTATGTCACCAGTTACGAAATGAAAATAAATAAAAATGCCATTTTTGGTTTTTAAAAACTAGAAACCAAAATCGAAAAACCGTTAACTACAAAAAAGAAAACAAAAAAATAAAATCTGTACTTAAATTGCGTTTAATTTTTTAAATAATTGAACACCGTTATTGAAAACTGCCCAAAAATGTTGAGGGTAAATTTTGACGTTTACTCCTTTAAGAATAACGGGTAAAAACGATTTTTTGTTAGAAATCAAATCGTTACATAAATAGCTATTAAAATCACTATTAAATTCATAAAAACATTCTTATTTGTTAATTACTACCTAGCTAGCAGAATAGCTTAATTTGCAAGCATTTCAATATAATTCAATACATTTGAGACTTAACTAGCGTTCTCACACTACAATTTGAAACATCATAACTTGTTTTCAAAATAGTTAATAAATAAGCTGAATAACTGCCGTTTGTCGATTGAAATTGATCAATAAAAATCGCATTGTGAGATCACATTTTAATCCATCATTCTCTGGATGAACTTCAAATCTTAACAGTTTCCAAAACATCGAAAACTTATCTTACTTCTGCAACAACTGTTGAATTTCTTTAAAAGTTTTTCCTCTGGTTTCCGGTATATAAAACCAAGTAAAAACGCCACAACCCAAACTGAACATCCCATAGAACAAAAACGTTCCATCTTTACCGAAAACGTCGGTCATATCATTAAAAAATTGTGTCATCAAAAAGGAGGTAATCCAACATGCGGCTGATGTCGTTGAAGCTGACATTTTTTTGAAATTTTTCGGAAAAAGTTCCGAAGAGACTGTCCATGGTACACATGCCATACCGTTTTCGAAAGCAAATACCATTATAAGAAGACTCGTTATGGGTATCCAAGCTATTGGCTCGATATTAAAACTGGTTCTGTTCTCAAAGTAGAAGAATGTACCTAAGATAAATAGACAAATTGCCATTAAAGTCGAAGAACATATTAAAAGTGTCTTCCTTCCAAATTTATCAGCAAAGTACGGAGCTGGTAGACTGAAGATCATAATAGAAACACCAATGATCATGGAAGATATATGCGAAGGCAGGATAGTTCCAGAAGATTCGAAAATTGGCTGCAAATAAAAAGTTATAGCATTCCAACCAGAAAATTGCTGGAATGACAATAACGCTATAGAAATAATAAAGGCTTTTCTAATGCCAGGATTAATAAAGATATTCTTGAAACTTGGTGGCGTCTCCTCTTCTTGTTTCAGAGTATCTTTAATGTGATTTAATTCATTTTGGACACCTTTTTCATCTTGAGATCGTAGTACCATTAACACTTTTTCAGCTTCTTCCATTTTATCGGCTCCCACCAAGTAAAACGGAGTCTCAGTTCCAAGAAAGAGGAACGAAATGAAGAAGGCGATAGGAAAAACTGCGTTAAATAAATTGAACATTCTCCCACTCAAGAATGGTCCTACTAGATATGGCATGAAATTACCTAACGCCCAAAATATAGTCAGGGTCATAGAGTATAATCCTCTGTCTTCTTCTTCTGCTACCTCCGCTATGTAAATCGGGAGTAGGGTGTAACCAGCACCAACTGCTAGACCTCCGAATGCTCTGCCGAAGTAGAAGATGTCTACGGTTGTAGCGAACGCCATCGATAGGTAGGAGATTATATGAACGATTCCTATGCCCAGCAAGGCGACTTTTCGTCCTAGAAAAGTAAAAAAACGTTTAATTTTTAATCGACTTAAAAAAAACGGAGGTTCTCAATTCGTCAGAATATTTTTATTATGTATATTCAGCGATAATTATTTACCACATTGTATGATTTCTATGATTCTGTTTGATAAAAAGGAGGTACCTCGGGAATAGTCCCATATATATTTGGTCAAAATCTCAATTTGTAATGGCATCTCCACTTAAAATTACTTCTGTACATTTTTTTATCCGGAAATATATAAAAAATAAGAAATATTAAAATTAAATCGAACTAACTTCGTTTTGCTTCATATTTCTAAAGTTAACTCTCTTTCGGAACTAAATATCTACGTCCAATAAAAGTAGGAACTTACTATTTTTTAAAAATGTTGGAAAGTGCAATTGAGTTCCAAAAAAAACAAAATTTAACAGAATATTTTATGTTACCAATGATTCACTTTAATTTAAGAAGTGGGTTTTAACTTTGGGTTGAGTTGTTTGAACATTACAGTTGATATCCTTACTAAATTAAATGTCAAAAAAGATCTGGCGATTTAATTTTTTTGAATGTATATCAGTATAATAATGATTATTGAACCTATCTACGAATTGTTCCCAGTCTGATCGTTTCCAACATATATCGCATTTATGTATTCTATGAAATGATTGTTAGTGGTAGGAAGATGTGAAACGTTTCTTATACTTACCGAAACGATCCGAAATAAAACTGAAAGGAATTCCACCAACCATAGCACCAATATTTATTAAAGACGCTATATATGCATCTTCTTCTGAGGTTATAGGTCTAGAAAGAGGATTTATGGACGAATCGTTGGAGTAAAGCTTTGAGTACATTGGGGACGTCCATGTCATTGTTATATCACCAGATGTAGCTAACAGATCAACTGAAAGTGAAAATAATCATTATATAAAAAAATATTATTTAAAGTAAATATATAAAAACAAAGGCGACGTAATCTGTGACTGGAATATTTTCGTTACCATTTAACTTCCGTTTTAGCAGAAAAAGTCACTAAATTTGCAATTTTTACCGTTAAAAGCTTTAACCTTACCATTAAAAGCTTTAACAGCTGAAATACATACATAAAATCTTATAAATTAAACCTTTTTGCTTTTGATGCCCATCTTTAAAACAATTTCATCCATTTACATAGCCAAAGCAACCAAACTTTACTCAATACCATTTCGTGGTATGGAACATCACAAAATCTATTTAAATTGGTTGAAATCTTCCTATCAGGCAGCTCAACATATATTGCTTGCGTTCTACAGAATCAATACAGAAATACATCAAAGCTCAGCTTGGTCCCAACGCTATTCTTATTGTAAAATAACGATCTACTTTCAACCACTTATAATTATAACCGTATACGTAGCTGTGTGAATGTTACCAATCTACATGTCTTATGTACATGTTTTTAATCAATTCCCCAAGGCCTGGCTGATATCAAACGGAAGACTAAGACTCTTACTAAGGATCTTGACATTATTACCAAGTGAAAACCTAAAAACATTTTTTTAATGCCTTCAGAACACAATTAATCTGCTTATTTATCAGATACTCCAATAATCAAATCAACCACTTTCCTAAGCTCATGTATCATCTAATTCTGGTCCATGAGAAGCCCTTCAGGCTAATTTAGGAACTGTTTCTCTGGAAAAAGAATCAAGTATCTAGGCTTCAACTAGCTTGACTTCAAGTATATTTGCTTCAAGCCACTTGACTTTAAGTAACGACTTCAAGTGACTTCACTCCAAATAACTTGAATTCAAGTAAATTGACATCAAGTTTATGTTCGTATTTTAACAAGTCAAGTGCAGCAAGTATATATTTAAAATGAGGTTTAATAGCATAGGGATTCTCATAGCAGCAAAAGAAATCACCACAAATTATATCACTGGAAGGAACATGCTCATCTATACAGACAAACAGACAAGCACTTCTCACCCTGGACAGACCACCAATTTACTCAGGGTTAGTATTATTAGAATGTTACGAACCTTTGGCTGAAGTATCAATCAACAATAACAATGTGGTCAACTTAAGATGGATCAAAAGTCACGCTGATTCATTAGCCAAAAAGGCAGTTGACTAAATACTTATTGGACCTGGCCCTTCTATTGGACTGATAACATCGGTAATGATACACCTAATTAAAGAACATTCGCTTGTGAAATTCAAGGAAAGATGGGATGAAACAAGAAGCTGCAGACTTGCCAGGGAACTTTTAATTATTCTGACAACACTACAGCAAACAAATACTTGACTATGACTAGACAAAATATGCGCCTGATCACAGGCATTCTAACTAGTCATTACCAAGTAAGGAAACATCTCAATATCATGGAGCAAGGAAAAAGATGAAAGAGTATCTTCTTCACTTTCAAGTAAATTTCTGGTTTATATATGGGTCAATTACTTATAAGTTAGGTATTTAAATTCAAGCGATTAAGCCAAATAACTTTAAACTTTGGTGCATTTAAATAGTTGCTGTAGCGGTCGCACACCCAGTACGTGACAGAAGTTCCTGACCTGTGAGACTAATACACAGAAACGATAACATTTTAAGATTACTTCTTATTAATTGAAGTGGTTGGAAAAATTTTATTAGCTAGTAGCTATTGTTTACTAATTGTTTGAAAGAGCATCTAAGCACTAGAGATTTTATCGCTATAATTAAAACATGTTTTTTAAATTACATAGGAATTTCGAAATAGTTTGGTATGTAGGTACCTAATAATCAATAACTAGTGTGATTAAAGTTATTTGTTTAATTGAAACTATCGAGATAGAATGAAGTAGATACGACATAAAAACTTTTTTGCGATATTTATTTATTTATTTATTTATTTACCAAAGTCAAACAGGCCTATTGGCCTTTTTACATGAGTAGTTTTCTTAACATAACAGCCAAATATATATGTAGTTTTATAACATGATGCTCAAATTATAATAAGTACAATGAACATTTATGGATGCAGATAAATACCAAAACCGAAAAATGCAGAAAAAAGTGCTGAACTGATAGATATATCTATAATTAAAAACTTAAAATGTTTAGATTAAAAACTTAAAATGTTTAGATAGTCATATAAAACCATTTTAAATTGGATATGGCCAATTATCCAATCTATATTGCTCATTGAATTGAAAAAATTAGCAAGTCTTATGATATGAGTTAACGGAGTTTGCTGAGGACTTTTAGAAATATTAAAATGTAATTAGGACCTGACACGTCTTGATAGAACATTAAATGGTACTAACAATAATAATTGCATACATTTTTTCTACGGCTGCAATGATAAATCATCATTTTGATTCGGCTATTGGAACTTATATCATACACAACATTTCATATTGCACGGGTTGCCCAGCAACGCGTGCGAAATGAAATTTTAATTTAGTAGATCAAAAACTAAGGCGGCTATAATATCATTTTGACGTTACTGTCAGTATAATTAATATTGACAGATAATTATCTTTTTCTACACCCGTATTATAATAATGCACTTATATGCCCATAATCCGTTTCATAATGATACCCATTATGATACAGATTTTTCATTACGATACAGATTTTTAATCAATAGAAACCTACAATTTTTCAATCAAGCATGCTGTTTGACGTTTGTCCTAGGTTCCTATGTAATTATTTTAGTTGTCAAAACGTATTAAATTTTCGTAGGTAGCTAAACTTCGATAATTATAATATTAAAATGTCTGATATTAGCGATATAGAAGACTCCTCCACACATATCGGAGAAAGCAGAAAATACAGTACAAAATATTTTACCGCAAAAATCTAGGGAAATACCAATACCTGAAGTAATACCATTAATTACAATTTTGTAGAATTTTTTATAGAAATACGAGTAATTACTGTTATTGTGTTCAATACCAATATAAATATAATATTTATAGGTCTTGATTATTTATCGGGTGTAGAAAAAATAGCGTATGCAACTCTCATGTAATGGTTATTAAAACACTCGCATAAACCATACGAAACTCGCCTTTGGCTCGTTTCGTATCCCGGTTAATGCTCGTGTATTAATAACCATCATTACATGATCGTTGCATAATATACTATTTTTTATGAAATAAATTAATAAAATGGACAGTGATAGTGATATAGAATTAACACCTCCAAACATAAAGGAAGCTGCAAAAGTAACAACTTTAAATTTGTTGCCACCAACATAAAAAAAATTATATCAACGATCTTATGCCCTCTTCATGAATTGGAAAAAAGGTGAGAACGCAAACTCATTTTCAGATAACGTTTTAGTGGCTTATTTTGCCGAATTGGCGAAAAAAATGAAAAGTTCTACGCTTTGGACACATTCGATGTTAAGAACGACTATCAACATTAATAATATAGATATTAGCAAATATTTGAAATTGAAAGCATTTCTCAAGCGGCAGTCAGACGGATACAAACCGAAAAAGTCGAAGACTTTTACGTCAAATGAAATCGAAAAATTTATAAAAGAAGCTCTCGATGAGATATATTTAGTAACAAAAGTAGGTTATTTATATTTAAAATACGTTATTTTTTATATTTGTGTAATGCAAAGTATTTTCAATTTGTGAATTTTTATTGTAGGTTGCGTTAATTATGGGTGTAATGGGTGCATGCAGACGACATGAATTACATCAGATGAAAATTTCAAATTTTAATGATTTGAATGAAGCAGTTTTGGTGACGGTACCAGACACTAAAACCAAAATTGTTCGAAAGTTCACTATAATTGGTCAATATTATAAATTTTTTAAAAAATATGCCGACCTTCGCCCTCCTCATGTTAATGATCCCTGGTTTTTTATAAATTACCAAAAAGGTAAATGCACCGTTCTAAGAATAGGGTTAAATAAAATTGGGGCAATGGGAAAAGATATTGCCAAGTATTTGAAATTGCCAAATCCTGAGTTATATACAGGTCACTGCTTCCGCCGTTCTTCGGCAACAATTTTAGTTGATGCTGGTGGTGACATAACCACGTTAAAGCGTCATGGCGGCTGGAAGTCTACAGCTGTTGCTGAAAGCTATATAGATGAATCCTTAACAAATAAGATTGATATAGCCAACATAATTTCTAATAAGATAAAAAATATAACTTCAGAAACGGGAAACACATCTACTACAACTGCAGAAAATTGCCAAATTAAATAAAATGTAAATATTGAACATAATATCACTACTACCTCCCCAAACATGGTTTTTAATAATTGTACGTTTAATTTTTATAAATAGGTTGGGGTATGGCTTGACCAGTTTTTCAGTTTCAATCGAGTTTATTTATCCACAATTTGTTATTTGCAGTGTAATCTATTCCAGTTAATAAAATAAATCTTTTATTCGATTTGTGTTTGTTTATGTAATAGAAAGCAGTCGTAGAAAAAGTATAGTATGCAACTCGCACGAAATAGCTATTTTGCACTCGTATGATTTGGAACACTCGCCTACGGCTCATGTTTCAAACTTTCATACTCGTGAAAAATATGCTTCATTTCGTGCTCGTTGCATAATATACTATTTATATGATTGTTGATAATTTTATAAAGAAACAAAATCATAGATTGCTTATACGTCTATTAATTAGTGAAGGTACTACAAATTCTTCCCTAAGCATAGAGGTTTTTATTTCGATATAATCAGGCCAGACATGATATTTTTTATAATAAAGATATCGCAAAAATTTATTTTGTATTTTCTCTAAATGTATTTGAGGTTGTTGTGCCCATATTACTGAAGCAAATTCTAATTTTGTTCGTACAATAGTAAAATACAGATATTTTATTACTTTTAAATTTGTAAATTGAGATATTTGTCTTATAAGAAAACCTAATGTACGATATTTGCACTAAGAGCAATTTTATTAATATGTGGAACAAACGACATTTGATTGTTATAACACATTCCAAGACCTTTAACAGCAAGACGTCTTTCCAATATTTGTTGTTTTTTTCGTGTAATAGAAAGTATGCAATACTTTTTAATATTAAAAAGTAACTTATTATATTTAGTCCATGCTACAATATTGTTGATATCTTTCTGGAGCGCCACACAATCTCTGACTATTTCTACTCGTCTAAAAAGCTTAAAATTAAAAAAATATGACAGATAGACGAACGTAATGGAAAAGTGTAATCAAAATGGCGACTTTGATTTATTTGGAGTCAATAATTTTATGTTTGAAGATTGACGAAATGAAAATATTTTTATATCATTTAAATAAAGCTATTTAAAATAATGGTATTTATTATCACCAAAATTACTAGCTCAACTAGACCGATTTTGACATATGACGTAAAAGGGTAATGCAAAAGGTTTGTTCGGGTTTCCTTAAAACTCGATGCAAACCGTCCGAGAACTAGTGGAACAGTTCATTTCTAAAGTATACGTCGCACATAACTATTAAACTGTCCAATGGTCAACTAGTCCTCTGATAGTTTTCAATGTATTTTAAAGAACCCGAACAGACCTAAAGGTACGCGGTCACTTTTGTTGTCGTCTTTGTTATCCTCTTTATTTTATCTCAATGATTGAGACATACGAATAGATACTTTGCTTTGGAATAGCGAATTAATAAAACTCGGCTAAATTAAACTATACATAAACCTAGAGCTAGAAATACGCCTACTGCACCAAAGATACTACAGCTAGACCTTTAAGACCCATTGGGGATGGGAACTTTCAAAAAAATAACACCAAACTATGAAATACAAAAAAGAGAATAAAGTGAAAATACTATGTTTAAATTTGTCAATTCGATTGTGTAGTTTTACGCTCCGGTGGCCTAATACGCGTGTTTAGGGAAAACGTCACAGGTTGAGGAAGGTCATAGCACTGGATGCCAACAGGAGATCCAGAACGTCAATTGTCATTAATGTCCATAAGAATAACACAGCCGTCATTGAAATTATTAAAGCATAATTATGAAAATGAAAGCAATTTAATTATTTAACATATTAGAACATATGGATGGTAAGGCAATAAAGTTTATATGTGTCTCTATGGATTTTATAATTTTGTTTTCAGGAAAATAATTATTTGTCTTCGATTTGAAGAATTTTAACACAGCCTACTCAAACCTTGGTTTTTGAAGTGGATATAATTTAATTAATTGACACATTCAAAGAATATAAACGGTAAGTTGATGACCTTGACATGTAGTTCTATAGATTTAATAATCTTTTTTTTTTTCAGGAAAAATTCTATTTCAGCGATTTGAGAAACTTAACCTTATTCCTGATTGTGAGAGTGAAAATAATTTAATATTTACAAGATAAATCAATGCCTGGGTCCGTCCAGAAAAGAAGCAGGTGAGACATATATCGAGGGCCACAAGGCAGGACCTCCTAAGCCGCAAAATCAACAAAAATGTTTTACATACAGAACAATCCATTTTACTCTATAATAGGGACTAATATTCAAAAATCAGGGATTGAGAGGGCTGTGTTAAAATTCTTCAAATCGAAGACAAATAAATATTTTCCTAAAAAAAAATTATGAAATAGAGAAACATATAAACGTTATTGCCTTACCATCTAAATGCTCTAATATGTTAAATAATAAAATTGCTTCCATTTTCAAAATTATGCTTTAATAATTTCAATGACTGCTGTGTTATTCTTATGGACAATTGACGTTCTGGATCTCCTGTTGGCATCCAGTGTTATGACCTTCTTCAACCTGTGACGTGCACTAAACACGCGTATTGGTAAAGGTTTCAAGGACTCAACTAGGAGATCCAGAATCGATTCCTGGCTTGGATTCAATATTATACTCTTCACACAGTAGGCTGTGACGAGTATTATGTAATCGGTTCCGTCTGTCGATGTCACATTTTATAAGAAGAATCCCTTTGATTTTAAAAAAATGGGGGGTTAAGGTGGGGTTGAAAAAAAAAGTTATAAATCATAAATGAAAAGCGATATTAACATGAAATTTGTATTAAAAATCAAGCTCTATAAGGGAAGAAGTCTATTATTTCTGAAAAAATTAAAAAAAATGAATAAAAATGGGGGATAAGGAAGGTTGAAATATTGAAAAAAACCCTAATTCAAAAACAAAAACCGATGTCAAATTAAAATCTTCAGGAAAAATCAAGCTTAATAAGAAGATGAAGACTATTGATTATAAAAAAAAATTGAATAAAAATGAGAGGTTTAGGAGAGTTGTAATATTTAAAAAAATCCTTACTCAAAAACGAAAAACAATATCAACCTGAAATTTTTAGCAAAAATCAAGCTCTATAAGGGGACAAAGCCTGTTGCTTTTAAAAAAATTTGTGAACAAAATGGGAGGTTAAGGGGGGTTGAATTAAAAAAAATAGAAATCAAACACCGAAAGCGATATCAACATAAAATGTTTAGTAAAAATGGGGGATAAGAGGGGTTGAAATATTATAAAAAAATCTAACTTAGAAATAAAAACGAATGAAATCACCAGGAAAAATCAAGCTTTATAAGGGGATGAAGCCCATTCATTCTGAGAAAAATCTTATTGAAAATGGGGGTTAAGGGGAGGTCTGTTAAACTGTGAAGAATATAATACAGAATGCCAAGCATTCTATATCTTCATTCTAGTTTTCATTATTTCCAGCTTTTTAAATTTTTCCTTCGTTTATTTTAATCTTGAGGTTACAGTGGAAAATTCTTTAATTTCAAATGACGAATTGGGGTTTTTCTTCTCACATCTCCAACCGTATTCTTTAGTTTTCGGATCTATAACTGATATTCTCTCCATTCTTTCTTCAAAAAGTTTTAACAGGTTATTTAAAAACAAGATTTAAGTATTTTTGTAATGGGTGAAATTTAAGGTCGAAGAATGAAGAAAGTAACAAGCAATACACTTGTTAATTTCTTAAAAGAGAAGAGATTCGAAGGTCCAAGTATCACAAAAAGACAAAAATAAAATGGGAAACGTTTTACGTAAAAGGGTAACGGATGTTAGAGCAAACGTATTAATGTTTAGAGAAGAAACCATGAAAACTGAAACCCAGAAAGAAACTATAAATGATGAAAATAACAACTAACAGGAAAAAAACAATATAACAAAGAAGAAAAAGAAAAAAATGTTAGTAAATATTTTGTAGGTAAAATAACAGATATATAACGCGACATTCTTTTTAATTTTAGTTTCATAAAATTTAAAAAACTTTTTTTTTTTTGTTTTTTGTGACATCTTGCAGAAAGTTATGTTCTGACTAAATGTATCAGATCCCAAGAACACCTTGGTATCTGAAACGTGTGGGTTAACTTACGGCATTTAAGCCTCACAGGCCCATTGTGCAACTTTCCAAGCTGATAGGCACTTCCTAGCTCGTCAGTCAGTCTATGCAAAGAGGTGCTTTACGGTGTTAGCCGATACTCGCCGAACACAAATCTTCTAATAAATGAAAGTGTCGGGCAATCGTACCCCCTGCAGAGTGCGGATTCTGAGAGCCACATTGCCAATGGAGTTGCTTTCGTACTTGGCAATGACCAGTCAGAATGGAATGTCTGTGATCACTATGAGCAGGTGCAGATTCTGTCTAATCATAGTCAAGTATTTGTTTGCTGTATTATTGTCAGGATAACTTAAAAGCTATGAGAATCCTCATGAACTTAGTTTAAAGTACACTGGCGCTATTGCTCGCAGCTCATTTTATGGTCAAGTTTAAGGATCTAGAGCAGCTGTACTCAGCCTTTTTTTCTTTCGGGCCACATAAATCCGTTTGTTATGCTACACGGGCCACAATATTCTAAAAAAGGTCCTCATGTTGTTTTACTTTACATACTCTTAGTTTATATACTACTTTAAAAAAAAAGTCCTCATATTGTTTTAGTTTACATAATACTTTAAAAAAAAGTCCTCGTGTTGTTTAACTTTATAAAAAACTTTACAAACTTTCTAAAAGAAAGGTCCTCATGTTGTTTTAGTGGTGTTAATGTTTTGAAAAGTCGTAAGGACAGGACTATAGATCAACCATTTCAATTACTAATGATCCTGTTTGGGGCCACACAAAAAAGCTTGGACGGCCGCACAGGACAGCTTGGAAGACCGCATGCGGCCCGCGGGCCGCAGGGTGAGTATGGCTAATCTAGAATATATTCCACATGAGTCGTACCTGCCATTTCCGGCTATTATATTTGTTATGTTATATGGTTTATGGAAGATATATCTTGGTGAGATGGAGTCCATGTTCGCTTGAACGAGTGGGGAGCATATCGAGCGCGTGTTGCAAAACGGAACCTCTCGCCTCACCAGATCCTATATCAGGATCGATTCCAACTGTACGGAGGCGTTTCATTCTCAAATATCAAGGGAGTGAGACTAAGAATGATTTTTATGGCTCTGGTTGGTGTGGTTTTAATGGCTCTTGCTATGTTGAAACATGATGTTCTTTGAATTTGTTCTAGTTCGCGGATAGCTGTCAATTTTTGGGTTTTCCGTACCCAGCTCGTTTTGCTAACAATCCCAATTTTTTAGTTCTTATTTTTGCAGTAAATTAATATCTAGTTCAACTTTATTTTGTTCATTTTGAGTCTACTTTTTTTTTAAACCTTTTAGACTAAGAAAAAATAATCTCTTTATATTTCTTGCAAAGAAAATTGCTAGTTTATCTTTATTTCGTTTGTTATTTTTTATATTTTTGTAATGACAAATATAATATTAAAATAAAGGCGTATTTTTTTATTTAAATTAATATTTAACGAGGTTTCATTAATTTTAAGAGCATAAATTAGGCATGTTTAAGATTGCTCCAAATAAAGTAAAACTTGATTTCTGTTAAAGTTTACCTTTTTTACCAAATATCTCAACGTTAGTTAACTTCAATCAAAAAATTGAAATTATATTAATTAAAAAAGCCTTAGTTGATATTTATGGTCAAATGTATTAAATATTTAAATTTTTATTTGGTTTTTAAATTTCTTATGCGTAATCTTAGGGCTCAAATTTACAAAAAAACAATTTGTTTCTTAGCTTTTTTTTTTTAAATAATTTAAGTGGTTATAAATTTGCAGACACTTTTGAAAATATTCCGTTGAATTTTATTAATACAAAAAAAAATAATTTACCTGTCAGTACAGTTAAAGTTGTGTAACTCAAAAACTTCATAATTTCATCACCGATAATCAAAATAATGGAAATTATCTCTAGATTTAAAATGTTACGGCACTCATTAATACTGACAACAATAAGGCATTGATTTGTGTTTTTTACTTTGAAATAATTCAGAAGCTTATCTCTAACCAAAGATCTTAGGTAAACCCACGAATTTTTTAATTTAATATCTGGTTAAATTTCAATGTATTTATATAATAATAATAGGTAAATAAAGTAATCCACATTGTGACGTAATTGAATATATATTTTTTAAACTGGGCTTACGTGTATTATTTGAGTAAGTCTAGCATGGAAATTTTGTAAAAGCGGACTGAGGAACGCTTATCCAAGATCTTGTTTACTGGAACATCGCAAAAAATTCCTCAGATAATTATTGATTATTTTCTAAACTACAAGTCAAAGAAGTAATTCAAATAACATACATTTATTGACCCTTTATTTTTTATAATCTTAATGTACTGTACAACTAATAGAAAACAAAACTAACTTCTGTATCCGCAGTAAAATATTCGAGAAAATGCTGGGTAGCTAAATTATTGAAAATTTTAAATGCAACAGGGATCAATTATTGATGACTAATTTGGAAGGGTTTTTTATTCGTTATTCAATGGTTTAAATAATCTATAATTTGCTCTATTAATTATAATTAATTAAATGATAATGGGCATAAATTTATGGGAAATTTCCCCTAACCCCAATAAGGATAAGTTATATACCAAATGAAAGATCTTTTTAAGGAGAACATTTCTTTTTATTACGATTCATCTCAATTACTTATCCGCAGGGCCGACGAGAGCCGGGACAAAACCCGGGCTCAAGTGGGGGCCCGGCAGCGGAATAAGGGGGGTCCGGCAGCAGCATAAGGGGGACCCGGCAGCATGACGTGTTTTTTTTTTAGAAGTTCGCCACAAGAGCACAAGAGAGGGGACCTTTTTTTGAGAGATTTCACTAAAGGGGAGAGGATAAGTTTTTGCTTGAATACCTTTTTTTAGAAATGTGATATTGAAATGGCTTAATTTTTTTATAAACCTGTCGCAGGGCCCGACCTGGAAAATTGTCACGGGGCCCGACCTGGAAAATTGTCCCGAGGTCCGACTCGGCTCTCGACGGCTCTGCTTATCCGTTCCGAGTTATATCATCCTAAATGTAACTAATTGCACGATAGGCCAGTGCTTATATTCTATTATTGTAGTGCTTATTACAGGCAAATAATATTATTACTTCTTAGTAATATAAAAACAATTACGTGTTGTTTATACGGTTCCACATATGCCATCCAAAGGACCTCCGGGACAAGGGTAATGTACAAACATAAATACAGACAATCATAAATATTATTACCCCAGTTACATTACATCCTATACACGTCGGTCCATAATACATACTGTTTTTTTAAAAATATTTTTATTCAGGAAGATGAATATCTATTGGAGCTACAATTCGAAATTATTTTGGAATTTACAGAGTGTCTCAAAAAGTTTCTATCCAAAAAGTATTAACATTGAAAAATTCCTAACATTACCACTGCTTTAATTACTTTAGTATAATATAAAATGCAAGCTAGTAGGTAGCTTGCATAAAAAATGCAATGACTTCCAAATCGGACATATATTTCTTGTCGGCGCGAAATTTTGTTGTGTTTGGAAATAAAATGAAATCTGAAGTATTTATGTTTATTACAAAATTTAGGACAGGGAAAAGGGAAACACTTTTGGCAATCGTAAGATATTTTGTTGACGGCGTCAAGTGAAAGTTTAGGTTTTATTGTATTTTTTGTTTTTGTTTTCGTTTTTTTTGTGTTTTTTGTATTTTTTGTGTTTTGTTTTCGTGTTTTTCGTGTTTTTTTGTTTTTGCTTGTTTTTTTGTGTTTATTGTGTTTTTTATTTTTTGTGTTTTTTGTTCATTGTTGTGTTTTTTTGTATTTTTTGTGTTTTTTTGTGTTGTTTTGTGTTTTTTGTGTTGTTTTGTGTTTTTTGTGTTGTTTTGTGTTTTTGTATTTATTTTTTGTGTTTTTTGAGTTTATTTTTTGTGTTTTTTGTATTTTTTTTGTTTTTTGTATTTTTTTGTTTTTTTTGTGGTTTTTTGAGATTTTTGAGAATAATTTGAACATTGAACTGTTTAATAAGGGTATTTAGGATAGTGAGAAAATGTATAAAAAAATATTTGTAATAATAATGTTAGGCGGTTATTTTGTAGGTAAGATTTTGTTAGCATAGGCGGAGGCATATATAAGGAATAAAACTTGATTTATTTTACACTGTAAAATTGTTGCTAATTACTGTCTTATATGGGCTACAAACAAATTTTTCAGACATACAAATCCCCAAGAGTACCTACATGGCATATATCCTATTCCACTACAAAAAGGACAGGAAACTTTAATTCCACATTTGTGATGTATATTTAAGCATATATTGCCCGGCGATATTTTCCAAAGGCGTGACAAAAGGTGGAGAGGTTATCCAATATTTTTTATTACTTAATTTTAGGCCGATGGCAACTTGAGACCGAGAGTGGTACCAGTGGTTCTGGAAATTGTTGTCTGTGAACATCCTAATTCCTCACTGAAACCACTCTAGAAGCCTGGATCTGCCATGTACTGTAAAACACTTTTTAAATTAAATTTTTTGTACTGGCGAACGCCCACCTCCCCTAGTTTCCAGATCCTCATCAATGAAGTAGTTGTCAAGTAAATAATAGTTTGCTACAGAGCTTCTCTGGACTAGGTGCATGTTTTCTTTACTTTTACAGCTACTGTTTATGAATTCTAAAAAAGTAAAAACCTTTTCCTTTGAAGCAACACCTTTTTGCTTCGAGTCCAAATATTTTCTTTATTCTTTTATGAATATAATGTGAAGGAAATCTCTAGGATTTCTGCAAGTAAAATCAAATCCTCTTTTTTATAAATACGGCCTACTGTATATCAAAAATGTCTGACAAATGTACTGATGCAATAACTTCTGAGATAGACACTGGATCAAAAAATTTAAGTTGTTCCACCTATACTACTTCGGAAGCTATTAAATTTGAAAAGAAGAAATCTGTAAAAGTGTCTTAATTCAGAGAGAGGCGAGCCAAAAATTATGAGTAAATTTCAAAATGTCTTTTTATGATTTTTGAGTTGTTTTTGATAACTGTTTTTAGAAAATGTTTTGGAGAACACCTAGGATTTGTCTGTTTCTTATTACGTGTATTATATTTTTATTATCTTAAGAACACATTTTTCAAAAATATGTTGATGTATTTACATTTACATATTTATCTCTCTACTGCTAATATTATTTTTTATTTAGTTTGATTACGTCTCATTATTATTTTCAAATATCCTCTTGGGTAGTTTGGCATAACTCAGTGTTAAAGATCTTTGAAGTACTTGATAAATATAATGTTAATCTACGTTCTATTATTCTGTTGTTGATTCTTAGAAAATAATCACAATTTATAGTGTTAAAAACAGCGAAAGTCAACTTGTAATGATGCAGTTGTCAGTTATTTGTGGTAAGATATATTTAATTCTAATATAACACTATATCATTTATTACAAAATACAAAATTGGATTAATATTACTTACTATATTTCGTACGCAATATTCTCCATAGTCCATATTCAATATGTTTAAATGATTTTGAGTTTTTTATTTTATTGCATTACTTATAATAATTAATTAAGCAAAATTAGAACAATTATCCTATATATTGATACACGAAGAATACGGTGAAGATAGTATCCTTGTACAATCTGGGATGCGTTTAAGATGCTTTTCTAAAAAACTAATAATATAACAATGGGTTTACATATTTTTTGTTTGATGTTGATTTTTTATTGTAATCTTTATGTACACATACAAAGCTACAAATTAAAAAGAACAAAAAGAGGTGTGCACGTGGCTAATATTAGCTTTCAGGCCCGTAGCGAGGGAGGCGCCAGGGAGAATTGAGCCTCACCTAAAGCTTATCTGAGCCCCCCTAGAAAATTGCCCTAAACGGCCGTTATTAATGAAAAAAGCAAACAATTAACAATGAGCGCGTTCCAGTGTTCTTGACATACTATTAGTAGAGCCAAAATGTATATTTAACAAAAACAATGATTTTATTGAAGCGACCATTTCTGCACCGGGTTTTCAGTGTACCAAGAAAACCGACATTTTGTTAAACGTCAAATTTTCTATATCGCTGGATTTTTGCACTATACAAGACCTCAAAAAAGAAGAAGTTTGAACATAATCTTGAAATTTAAAATTTAAAAAGAAATATTTAAAGAGCTATTCTGCTATTCAACATGGATAGACAAATTGAAGAATTACTTCTGAGTAATTCGGTGGCAATTATAATGAAAGAAAATGTGTCTAGAAACGATCATTTGATTCAAGATAATTTATTAGAAGGGGACTTATTAAAATATATTACTACTATGTAATTTTTGTTTAATTATTTTTATATTTAAAATAATTATATTACTAGAATATTAATAAATAATTCAAGAATAATTGTGTATTAATATGTATATTTTTTTAAATTAATATATTTGTTAATATTTAGGATTTTAATAATAGTATTAATTTACTGTGTGATATGTATTCTTGTGTAAATGGGCTCTGGCGTTTCAATTTAAATATATATTTTTTTTGTAAAATGTGCAACCAAACCATTATAAAATGTACTAAGACATCATTCCTACATATAGTTTCAATACATTTTCGAATGTCTCCAACACAGTTGTTAAAACTATTTTGGAAAAAATAGCTCCAAGTCCTGAATTCCATAAACGGCCCCAAGACAAAGGTGGTCAACCACTATTGACAACTGAAAAGACTCTATTAATTGCCTTATGGACATTAGCTACACAAGAGAGTTATCGGTGTATAGGTGATAGATTTGTAGTAAGCAAAAGCACTGTTTATAATTATTTGCATTTAATAGTCAATGTCATTTTAACTAATTTGAGTGGATTATTTATTTAATGGCCATCATGAGAAGAAAAATATGGTGGCTGAAGGATTCTCAAGATTTGCAATGCAAAATGTAATAGGCACAATAGATGGCTGCCATATTCCAATTAAACAACCAAAAGAAAATGGAATAGTCTATTTTAACAGAAAAAATTCTACTCTGTTGTCCTTCAGGCTGTATGTAATCATAAGATGATATTTATAGATGTCGACTGTAGGTGGCCTGGCAGTGTACATGACTCCAGAGTTTTCCGAACATCAGACCTTTTTTACTTTGGCTCAGCTCTTTGTGCACCACATTATTATATTATAGGAGATGCAGGTTATCCCTGTAAGGAATGGTTGATAACACCTTATAAAAATAATGGACACCTTACACCTGCTAAAACCTATTTTAATACAAAGCTATCTAAAACCCGTGTCAAAATTGAGCATGCTTTTGAATTACTGAAAGGGCGTTTCCGAAAATTACTCGATTGTTTGTACATGAACGATATGCAGCATATTGTGAATACTGTCGTAGCTTGCTGTGTTCTACATAATATTTGTTTATTGCATGATGAAGAAGAGGTGCAAACATATATTAATGATGGCTTGCAACAAGTTTATCCCATTGGCAATCATAATGAAGGAGTTGAAGAAAATGCTGGCCAAATTGTGAGATATCATTTAACAAATATTATGTGGAATCAAAGATGAAACATATTTTAAGTGAATATATGACTTGTTCTCTTATTCTTTTTAATAACAGTTTTGGAATTAATAAAAATATATTGATCAACTTTTTATTAGTTAGAAACTTATTTAATAACATCAGAATAATTAGAACACAAACAAACTTTTTAAATTCTTAAAAACTAAAATAGAATTCTCTAAGGACAAACAGAAAACTCAGAAACACATTCATTCGGTTCCATTGTCGCCTCTTTTTGTTTTTATTAAGGAAATCAACTCGCCAATCATTAATTTATTTTCTTGGTGTTGGGTTTCTATAACTTTCATTCGTTTTTCTTCTTTCTTTTGCCTCTTCTTTGTAATCTTTTAAAAATGTCATTAGGTCACTTCTTACGTTACTCCTCAGCCGCTTTTTTTATTACATTCAGTGTCATGGTCACTTTTACTGCTACCTGCTTTCTGTGCATCAGTATCTGGTTTTTCGGTCGATAACTTTTCAGTTATGGCTCTTATTATGTTTTCCCCCAGGTTGGAGTTGGTGCTTGAATTTGACATGCTCAATGCTAAGCTTGAACATGTTGCTTTTGGAATTATATTTGGAGCATCCTCCAAAAATTATTCCATTACATAAAAATATTCCCAATCCTTTCTTGAATTTCCACTCTTTTAATTGTGATCCTTAATTTCTTTAAATATATTTATTAAGGTTTTCATTCTATTTGACAGCTGTTTTTCTATGAAGCTGTATCCAAACCGCCTTTCGATTTAGAATGAAAAGTTATTCACCGGTATCAGTTTATTGCACATACTTTGATTACTTTTCGGTGCAAGAGAGAGGTCCGACACGCCCAACATAGGGTGCGGCCATTTTGATTCCTATGTCACAGTTTATAGCTAAAGAATCAGATCGCTCACTCTGCGTCGGCACTTTTGATCTCAATGTTCCAGTTTATACACTGCGCAACTCGGATAATACAATATATGACAACCGCCTATAATAAAACAGCAGTCTTCTGCGCTTCCTGAATTTGTATCTCTAGAGTGGATGTTATTTTGGAACTTTCAACTGGTCCGAGTGAGCTAACTGATTCTTTAGCAATAAACTGTGACTTCAAAAATAATATTCACTGACACTGACAGCAGCAAGCAAAATATCAGGTGCGTTTTAATCATCCACTTCTGCTTTCGGAATTGTCGGTTTAGTCGTTTTAACCTATCAGATTAAAACAAGAAAACCGACAATTCCGAAGCAGAAGCGGATGATTAAAACGCACCTATTAAAAATATTGCGCCAAGATGTAGGCAACACGTAATAACGGTTCAAAATGGTGGAGTTTTCTATCTCCTTTTAAAAGGCACTCAGAAAGCTGTGCAGTGCGACCATTCTCCGTATAGTAAAATAAAATCAAAGTATGTAGTTTATTGGTGTAATGAAACGGTCAAACCAGGCAATACCGGTGCCACAGAAGAAAGAACAATACAGAAAAGAATGTAATGGTCGGAACTTTGAAGTAGAAGGGATAGAAATATTTGACCTTCAGTTCCACCACAGATATACTCTGAGAAAACGTAACTATTCACAGTACACGCGAATGTAGCTATTCACTGAATCTACACTGCGAAAACTACATTTCGGTTTCAAAAGTAAAATTTATAAAGTTTTAAACAATAGTTTATTTTACCCTGTCATAATTTTTTATAAACGGTACTTATAAAAAATATTAAATATTGAGTAATTATTTTTCTTCTTTTTTGCACCAAACAAATGTTTCCTAACGTTGCTATCTTCAGTCGCAGTCTCTGCTTTCTTGGGTGTTTGATGATAACACACTACTCGTTTGAATTTGTGCTGTTACACAAGGTAGAGGAACAGATGGTTGACTATGGACTTGTTCAATAGATTCTACACACAAGTTGTCTTTGCCTTCTTCGCCATAAATAACAAATTCCTCTAAAAAAAAAGAAAGAGAAACCAAATCAGATCAACTAGTGTCAAGAAGGTGCATCATTTGTCAGAATTAAATGTTTGAGTCACACTTTTTAGCCAGATGAAATTTAAAATAATTTCATAAAATGAGACTATTTGTCTGTGCCTAGGAGGTAAACTGCACTATGTCATTCTAGTCAACTTTTTAGTACAGCAGATTGAATGGTGTTAAATTATTAAATGTTAACTAGATATGCATTTAGACACCCATTTATTGTCACAATATTTGTATTTTTTACTAACTAATAAAACTATTTTAATTTGCATAATTTGTTGTATGACGACATAGTGCAGTTTACCTCCGAGGTAGTTCTATATAATGGAATGTATGGGTTGATATTCTAAGATTATTAGTACTTATCATTTTATTTTTCAAAATACTAAATGTAATGTAAAAAAAATGACAAACAAGACGAGTAGCACACTTTTTGTAGCATTTAACTATAAATTTTATTTATTTACATTGCAAAACTGTGACTCTTTTCGTAGGTTCTGAGTGGGGAAATACTGTTGGGAATGCATTTGCAAATAATCGTTTTCTTGTTCCGGACTAATTTTTACTCAAGTGTTCAACACTCTTTCCCAATAAGTCCTCTCTATTTGCTGCCTTAAGCCGCAATTTAAATTTGAAAAATACATACAATCATTGTACTACAAGGTTAGGCAAGATCAATTCCTATTTCACCCTCAATGTTTCATACATACCTCACTGGATCTTTCAAAAGAGTGAACAATCCTTCTTTGCGAACCTGTTCTTGAAGTACATCCACGATAAATACAAGTATATCCTCCTCCTCTTTGACGCAGCATTGTTTATAAACCTAATTTTAATACGTACAATAAAGTCTTAAATTAACACTCCACAATTAAAAACAGCAACAAAAACTAAAAATAAACCATTAAAAATCCGTAAAAGTTATCAGAATATTCGCTAAAAACAACCGAAAATCCAAAACAACAAATAAAGACACGACAGGCAAAACAATATTGATTTTCTAACAGCGACAGCAGTGACAGCTTCATTCATCTGCTACAAAAGTGTGCACTGTTGCACTTCGAACAAGTAAGAAATCTGCGATATCTGTCTAAGTCGTTGCAAACACGAGCCTGGTATCTTTATCTCTCGTTTTAATCGATTAAGGTACCAAACGGTTTACTTTTGACAATGCTCCACCATGAAGAAGGTGTGGCTTCGGTTGCTAGTTTCCTGTTTTAGCCCTATGTTTCTTTTCTGTATTGTTCTTTATCCTGTACCGATGTGCCAGAATGGTTGCAACAAAACGCAACTAAATTATAAACTGAAAAATGTCAACCACTGACCGAACTGGGCATTCAATTGCCAAGTACTACGGAAATAGAAGTCGCCAAGAAATATATAGATCGACAGACAAACGAGAATGCTGCAGAGAATCCCCAAATTTACCAGTCTATTTTTAAGCAAAAAAACTGCTTTTAAACACACATGAATTTCTAGCGAATTGCCGTACTTTCGCTTGTAATACGGCGCTCTGTGAGTCTATTTTTTCTGTCCTAACTAGAATTGATAGACCTCAGCGCAGGTCAAGTTACATCCAAAACTGGCAAACATTACTTATTTATTATTTGAAAAAGAGAAGGTAAAAAATATTGACAATCTGTTGGTTCAATTTAATAATTTTAGAAAACTGCAGTTATTCTAAAAATTGATAAAAAAGAATATTTATTTTTTAATCCTATTGACCTATTTGTTACCGCTTTTACTATTTTATTACTCAACCATCAACCAGGTCCCAAGATAAAAGTTCATAGGAAAAGATATTTTATTATTTTTTGGTAGTTTATTTTTTAGTTTAATTAAAATGTTTTCTTGTATAAATATCCGTTTTGCAATTGCTTGTTTTTTTTAATACTCTCCTCAGAGGAAGAAAGACAAAACAAAACTTCTCATACCTTTTTGGTATTTTAATACTCTAATAAAGAAAAACTAATTGGGTTCCCCCCAACATTTTGTCTAGCCCCCCTGAAACATGGGGCTGGCTGCGGCCCTGTTAGCTTTGAAAAATTTTGTATTTCACGTAAATGTTTTTTGCACTTTTTTTTGTAGAGTGCTTTCAGCGTTAGGCATCATTTTTTTGTGAATATTTTTACTGGTCATTCTTGAATAATCTACAATTTTAATCTAAAAATCTAATTACTTATCAAAAAAATCTGATGTGTCCAACACATGACTTTCCTATCTAGTTATTATAGGCTTTTTCTGGTTATTTTGTACAACCTATTGCAGCACCTCTATAAATGTTTAAAGAATAAACTAAATATATACATTTTCCACATACATCTACCTCGAAACATTTTTTTATAGTTATTCATTGAAAACGAAAATACTGAAAAATTTAAATTTAGCACTTTTCCTACAATTTTTTTCCATTACGGTCCATTTTAAAAAAATCATGTATAAACAAAAATTATAGAGTTCGATATCGCAAACAACTTTTAGTTCAACAATATTTATAAAAATCAGTATTTTGCACATTTTGTCAAATTTCTCGAATACGGACCATTTCAGGAAATTTTGACATAAAATAAAAATTATAGATAATAATATTAGAATTTTAATTAAGCGGAGAACTTATTTTCCTAAGGGAAAAACGAATCCAGGGATTCCTTTCCAGTAAGTGCCCCACTGCCGCTAGTGCCCACGAGCCGCCACTGGCTATAACGTATCATTTACAGTTGATATTTTATACTGCTAATACTGGACTAAATGCTGATATTAATTCTCTGATTATAGGTATCGGCACATTTTGATTGTTTTCTGGATGGTATTTGTTCGCAACTATTTTCAGTATTATATTTGTACCCGAAACTAAGGGAAAAAGTTTTAGTAAAATTAAAAAAATATTGTACGGCAAGAGTGAAGATGATGATAATAACGTAGTAACTAGGATCGTGTTAATTTAAAAAAAAGGTTTTTTTTTTTTATTATAAAAGAGAATTTTATAATTTTATTAAGTTGCATTACAAGATTTCTTTTTAAAATATTTTTATTTTGATGATTTTTGCAACCTAGATTATGAAATATTGCGTAATGACGCAATGATATTTTTTAAATATTTATTTTGAAACAAATTTTGTTATATTTTTCTACTATTGAATACAATTTTTTACACTATACGTTGTAGCTATTTTCGTGTACCTAGTCAAAGTCGAATCAAAAAAAGGTTCTAAAAAATGTTGAGGGAATCATAAATGGATCAAAAATGTATCAAAAAAGTATCAAAAATGTATCAAAAAGTAGATTAAAAAATTATCAAATAATGATCAAAAAATAAAAAATTGATACAAAAAATATAAAAAAATTATGAAAAAATTATAAAAAAATAAAAAATTGTAAAAAAATATAAAAAATTATAAAAAATCAAAAATGATCAGAGAATAATCAAAGAATGATTCAAAAATTTTCAAAAAATGATCAAAATATCAAAATATGATCAAAATATCAAAATATAATGAAAATATGATCAAACTATGATCAAAATATGATCAAAAAATGATAAAACAATGATCAAAGAATAATCAAAAGATGATCAAATAGTGATCAAGAAATGATCAAATAGTGATCAAGAAATGATCAAAGAATGATCAAAAAATGATTAAATAATTATTAAAATTTCAAAAAATGATTAAAAGATGATCAAAAAATGATAGAAAGGCTTAAAATGTACTAAAAATAAAACAAAATAGTCATAAACAGGGTCATCAACAGGATCAAAAACGGTATTAAAAACAAATCATTCCAATTAGCTATTTCTTCTTTCTATTACAAATTATACATTACAAATTGTAATTACAGATTATAATTATAGATTGGTAATTACAGATTGTAATTATATATTTGTAATTACAGATTGTAATTATAGATTGGAATTACAGATTTAAATTATAAATTGTAATTGCAGATTAATTGTAATTCTATTTCAATACGTAATTTACTTGTAATAATATATTATTAATTATTAATATTGTTAGCAACGTTATTGTCAACTACATTAAGTTTGTAGACTGGCTGGCGAGCTAAGAATGGCCTCATCGATTCAGTAGGTACACAATAGGCCCAGAGAGGCCTAAGTGCTGTAGGGCAATCTACCTTAATCATGTGTAATAATACTATAATTCATCCCCTTACGTCTGAATTTTAAAGCCAAAAGCCGAACTTGTGCGGTGTAGGGATGATTGATGGTGTCATTTGACTCACACGCGAGGAAAACTCGGAAAATCCCACCCACCACAGATACAGATACATAATTGTTTATTCTTGTTTTTTGTTCATATGTTCATTTTGCTGAAGATGAAAATCAACATGCATTGATTTAGTTTTATTTTTTTTTATTTTTCACAACTTTGTTAATTAAATCGATTCTCTTGCAGATTTCCAGGAGCTTTTCTGATGTCTCTGTATTATTTCGAACAACTGCTATGTCAACTCATCGCTGTTGCGGGTTATCGCAGGTGCACACGGTTCATCTAGCTCTGATCACATAACAGTATGTAAAAAATCTTTATATAGCTAAGATTCTCATTTATTAGATACTTTCTGTACATTAAATTGCTTACTTTTTACATTTTATAATTAAAAACTATACTGTTTACATATTTTCTAGCTTTTTGTTTGTTTGTTCCTTGACTATTATCTTTCGATTATGATTAAAAGACAAGTCGGAAATTAAAAATTAACATGAAATAATCTCCTAAGGAGGTCGGAGTTCAATTTTGTTCTTAGTTTAGTCAAGCCGGTCTGTACCACGGTACCATTATCATTCGACTAGCAGTCAATACAATGACCTTTTGCGTTATTTTGTTTTCAATTTATCTGTGAAATATTAAAAAAAAAAACAATAGGAATTTCCGCTTACAGTTTACAAACGTTTTGTGTGTTTCGTGGTCGGATTATGAGGTGGTTTGAATGCTCTTTGTTGGTGGTTTTCTTAGGTAAGTACTCGAAATGCATAGATCTAAGAAATACAGATAATAGTAAAACTGCATAACGAATTATAATTGTATACACATTCTAGAAAAAATATTTTACTTTTGACAATGTAAAACTTAGAAAGTTAATTTTTATTTGCTATATAACAATTAAAGTTGTCTTTTCATAAATAAAAAATTGGGGAAAAATCAGAAAATTATTTCTGTCACTGTAATGTAGGTCAGTAACTTACTAAAAGCTATATAAAAGCTGTATTTTATTGAACAAAATGGGCGGACAAAGCCAATTTTCGGGATAAAGTAACTACTATGTAATAGATTTTTTTTTTGGGTTTATCGGTCCTCATCCTTGATTTATTGCGATCGATTCTACACGAAATTACATGTTCATATGCAGTGTCAAAAGACTGTTAGGCCATCGTCAGAAGAAATACGAAGAAAATCTGCAACGCGGAAAAAAGCATCAGTGTGCAAATATATAAATTTTTTTCTAGCTCTGATACATTAACTGTTAACAGGATCAAAACTGAGAACAACTTTTTTTTCACATATAAATCAATCTTCCACAAGTTCACAAAGATAAAAATCATGAAAATACATTAGAACTCCAACAAACATCTTCATCCATAAGTTGAAAGATACCGAATCATAAACTAAAGCAGAAAATTAAACTCAAGTCCAATAAATCTATTTTTTTTGCTGCTCGCAGAAATGCAAGCTTAGAGGAAAAAAATCTTATATTGTCGTCTATCTGTACGATGTTACAAGGGTGGCTTTATAGGGAGAATTGAGAGCGCAAATGGAATTAGAATGTGTGTGCGCCGACGAAAGTCGGAATATGGTTTACTATAAACCTAAGAGGTTGATTATCAAAACCATGTGCATTGATAGCTCAATTGGTAGAGGCGCGGACGCTTATAGTCTTCAAGTTCGATGCCTGGTCAATACATTCAATTTTTTTTCTCTTAATTTCTCAGCTTATTCAGTTCTTCTTCGGTTTGTTTTCACTTTAGGGATATGGGGGTGTTTTTTCATAATTTCGTAGTAGGAATTGAGGATTATATACTTTTGTATTTCCAAAATTGTTAAAGGAAACTGTTTCGAAGATATTTGAGTTAAACCTGTGATATGACGACACCTTTAAAGAGCTTTAGTTCCATTAGCAAGCAGGTTTGGATAAAGAGAAATATGACAATATGAGCTTTAGATTTTTGTTTATTAATTCATGTATTTTTTTTTATATTCTAAGAAAAATTTAGGTATATTGAGATTTTTTCAATTTAAAATTTTGATAAAATATTTTTATTCACTACAAAAACTTAAGCTATCCTTTGATTAAAAATATGTGGATTACTTCCCCCTATGCACTGTCTCATGCTTCAAAATCTCAAGATTTCAACTTAAATTAATCTTGAAGTTTTCTCGCGGACACCTAGTATATTATGTTTTTTTTTAATGCTAAGTTTCAAACATATGCACTAACCTCTATTTAAAAATTCCACGTGAATGTTTCTAAATCTTTTACATATATAAAATTTGAATATTATCAACAATATAATTTGAAAGAACTTCCCTCGATATAGAAATTGTAAAAACAGGGAATTTCTAAGCACTAAGCACTTACATTTTACGAAAGTGACGAAGAAAACCAAGCGGACGCGAAGTGAAAGTTACATTCGGGATCGGCTCCGCAAACGAAGCTAAAGGTACCATTTGGGTAGGCGCATAGATAAATTAATATAAAACAAGATGAATTTATTAAATGCCCGCCACTGTCAACACGGCGTAGTTCCCAGCATACTATTAGTTAGCGCCACCATCGCAATAGTATGAAAGCGATGTTGCCGGTTTCCGTAAACTTTCATGAGATGATAGTTATTTCAAATTCATTTTTTTTTAATTTTTTATCAATCTACATGCGCACCATACCATCCATACAATGTCCATACTATTGCTGAGATTTTTAAAAGACGGGCTTGACAACCTTGTAAAAAATGAAAAACGTGATGGCGGAAGGCGGGATATGATGATAAAATAAAACTTATTTTTATTTTATGATGTAAGTTACATAGGTAGGTAAGTTATTTTTAGGTTAAGAAACAAACGGTGCTAATTTGATGTAATTAGTAAGTATTAACTTTAATTTAATATTAAGTATTTAAGGACTTTGTTTATCATTGTTTTCTTAGCCTTAACGATATATAGGTATCTAATTTCATATTTCAACAATTCCTTTTCTAATATTTGAAACAAAAATGTCTGGCCCGGGTATAGTTAAGTATTCTTGTTCAGCTCCTAATTGTTTAAATAAGTATTATTCTAATATTCAGCAAGTTGGTTATTCAAATAAAGCATTTTTTCATTTTCCTTCTGATGTTAAAGTTCGCCAGAACTGGTTTAAGAATTTAAATTTAACTTTAGATGATAATAATACTCGCTATCTTTGTGAAGATCATTTTTTGCCAGTCTTTTAGTAAGGTTTCCTCAAAACGTAAACGACTAGTTGTACATTCTGTACCAATTTCTTTAGATAATTATGCATCCAGTTCAAATATACAACCCGAGAGCCAGATTTCAGAATATATTGAGACTGAAGCACAAACACAGCAGCATAAGATAGATTTGCTAATCAGCAACGAAAATCAAGAAATTAGTTGCAAACGTAAACTAAATATTAGGTGATGTACAATTTGAACAACCCTCCAAACGGAGAAAAACTGTTTTGCAACAAATAAATGAAAGTAAAGTCAAAAATTTAAGTCCCAAAGAGAAAAAGCTGTATTTTATTAATAGAGAACAAAACGTTAGAATTTGTAAGCTAAAGAAAGATCTACGTGTTTCCAAAAATAAAATCAAGAAAGCCTTTGAATTATCCAAAACTCAGTTATTTTCAGATTTTAATAATAAATTAGATCCGATTGGAATTAAATTCTTTAAAAGTAGTTTAGAAAATTGTAAGAGAAAGAAACCCTCTTGGACCACTCAGAATAAAATTTTTTCTTTAGCATTATATAAAAATGGTCCAAGAGCATATAATTTTTTTAAGAAAATGCATTTCGTTGCCTAGTAAATCTACTATCCAACAAATTTTAAGTGATTTACATTTTGAAACGGGGATAAATGATTCAGTGTTTTCCAGATTTAAAGAAATTGTTAGAAAAATGCCAGAAATTGATAGGAATTGTATTTTAACGTTCGACGAAATAGCTCTAACCGAAAAACTCACTTTTGATACAGTTAATGACAAAATTGTTGGATATGTTGACTGCGTCGTTCTCAATCTTCGTCAAATAATTAAAAATAACTTAGTTTTATAAAAATGGTCAACATTTTGATAAGAGAAATTGTTCAATAACATATATGTACACTTTTTGTTTTGTTTTTATAGGAAACACCTGACGCCCATCAAAGTATGGTCCATTTTTACAAGAATGTGGGGAAACTAGTATTCATTTCACTTACAATTGTTCTTTATTAACACATTATGTATGTATTACTGTATAATAAATAATTTAAATATATTTGTCTTATATTTTATTTCAGTGTAAATATTTTTTGTCTACATTTTTTGGGATTTTATAACTAAAAAAAACTAATATATATGTTAAATACAATATTTTAATATAAATATTAGTTTTTCTTTTTAAAGTAATGAACCCCAACAAATATAAATAAATAAAGATATTTAAATGAACCGCGGTTACGTTAACACTCTTCTTTTTTATGCCTCTTACTGACAAATCAATCAGCCAGTGTAGTTCAAAAAAGATCCGTTCCATACTAATTCGCAGCACTACGTTTCCAAAGATTAACACAGAATCCGACCATCTTCTTTATTAGTTTATCTATGGGTAGGCGCGTCAAGAGACAAGCGACCACTGATGCGACCCCAAGGTCGAGTAGGACGACAGATGCATAAATGTTACGCTTGGTGCATTTCGCAAGCTTGAGAAGTGTCGCGCGACAGTTACAGGATAACCATTCGAGGAAACGATCAGCGTTGCCAGACCTACTGTTTTCACGTAGATCCACTGTTTTTGTCTCTAGCAAATTTTGTTCTTAATTTATTAAGTTTGCCTCATTCTTCAGCAAATGGTTAAAGAATATTTTCTCTAGTAAATTTTCTGCAGTAAAAGCAGCGTAATAAGCATCCACTACTCTAGGTTGGCTCTATAAAAAAAAACATCGAGATAATCATTGTTTTTATTTAAAATAAAACAAAGAATTAATAGGACATCATAAAAAGAACATGCACACTACGATTTTGAATTATCTGATTCAGACTGATCTAAAAGAAGTAGGTACCTATTATTTTTCATTGTTTTTTTTTTGTTTCCGTACGGTATATATTAAAAATGTTATTATTTGTGTTTATTCTTTGTTTACCTTCTAATTTGGGTTGAAAAAAGTTTATTTTTAGTTTCTTATATACTTGTTTTTTTATTTACTACACTGCAAATTTTAATTATTTCCCCCTGTATTAAAATCTACTGTTCAGATCTACGGTTTTTTTTTTACCCATACTGTTTTAAAATCTGGCAACGCTGCCTAGATCGAAAGAAATTTCCGACCGAATCACCCCCAAAAAAAAGCGATGCCGAGGACAGTGACCTCGAGTGCGATACGCAGCAAAGCTTTGCACCGAGAAGTGTTTCCAGGACGACACTTCTCGGTCGTGTCGCGCCGTGCGAAATGTGTTTCATATAATTGTATGTATTTAAGATGTGAAGCGACACTTCTCGGTCGTGTCGGCGGTCGTATGTCGCGTCGGCGGTCGTATGTCGCGTCGGCGGTCGTCTGTCGCGCTTACCGAAATGGTACCTTAATGATTGGCTGCTTTTAAAGTGGTCCAGTTATATAAACAAGAAGGACGCTTTTTATTATTTACACAAAGGAGGACCTTTTTTGATTAAATACGATTCCTTTCAACGCCATTTTGAATTTTTTTAAACTAATTTGGGATCTGTTATCTTTAACATCTAAAATACTCAGATACCAATTTT